CATAAAGTTCTGCAATTTTTGTTTAAGTTACATTATTGTCATGAAATAATACAATGCAGACATTTAAAATGTGTCTGCTCTTAAACTTTATCACCACACAATGACAATGTACAAATTACACATATGTAATGTTAACCTTTTGATTTACACAACTCAAATTGTGTAATTAGTTGTGACAGATTTTTAACACCCTTTAGAAATTAATGGAAACCAATGGCTGTCTGGAAGGGTTAGAAAAATACATAAATAAAACTAAAACTGCATAACCTCTATTCGAAAATGGTCAGAAATATTTGCGAAATTTCTAGTTAAAGAGCTACAATGCAAAAAACATACAGGTCTGGTTGTTAAGTCAGTCCATTACTTTGGTACTGACTAAAATATCACACATTTTTGGATAAAATTTAGTGCAGACATTCACGATCCCCTGAAGAGGGATTGTAAAAACCTCTCATGGGCCAGAGGACAGACAAATATCTACCCACAGACACACACACAGGAAATATATTAAAGTGCATGCTGTCTATAATACACACCACAGCAGCGCCAAATCCTCTCTCAGGCATCAATCAGGCGGCGGCAGCTCGCACAGTGAAGCGGAATGACTATAATGGCCGTCCTGAGCGCTCCCACATCTCGGTCCCTCCACTGACCTTTTCAAGCCACGTAAATGATGGTCAGTGCTATCACACCCTCAGATAGATTACTCCTTCACTTCAATGGACACTGAGGCCCCATCACCACTGCCCCCTTTTCACAGCTTTAAACCCAATCATTTCACTTCAATCTGCAGCACAGCGACGACGGCCATGCATCAGGGGAGCTAAGGGGATGACACCGGGGGGAGCTTCCATTGTTACCATATCACCATAACCACTATCAGCAGCAGCCGTCTCCTGGAGTAATGTACTGTCTGGGAACTGTTATTAGCCAGCTGGGAGATGGTAAAAGGTGGCAGTGGTTGGGGTTATGCTGCGTAAATGATAACTGTCTCTAATGACACGACAACATTTTACAACGGAGAATAAAAGCTGAACGTAATGAATTACCTTTTCTCCTGCTGTGGCCGTAACACAGTAACATTTTAGTACTCGCTCATCAGTGCTAATTATTGGGAAAAGGTGATTTTGTGCGAACAAGTTGCACAACTTTTTACCTCTATGTCATCCTTTATTCCCCTGATATTTCCCATAGGGCTGCAAAGATACAATACTTGCATTATTGCATTATTGATTAAAATAAAAGAAATAATAATAATTAATCTCCCAGTTACTTTTTTAAAACAATATTTTAGTCTTACATCGTTTCCTTTTGCTCAAGGGGATGTCAGCATGCACTTACACTATACTAAAGCTGTTCCAAATCCAACATAGACCTACTCATTATATGTAGGCTACTAATTGTCATAGTATACTTTTTGGCAGATAGTATCCAAAAATAGCAAAATACTCAAATGATGCAATATGCGTGAGGTCAGTTGTCAAACATTAAACTGCAACTTTGGAAATTTTCTGCCACTTAAACTTAATAAATAGACATCAAAATGTATTTCTTTCTTATATTTTTAGTTTTCCAGAAATCTCAGAAGGTTTTACCAATACCCACAATGCTTTAAGTTCCCTCTATTTTGTCACTTTTCTAGTGTGAACACTCTATATAGGCTTACTAACAATCGCCTTGGATCAGTATGTGGTATGGATTTGTGACACAGTGGAAGTGTCAACATGTTAGAACGCTACCAAAAATAGTGTCAATGGAGGCTGCTCACAGCTGTTGCCATGCTAACAGTACAGTAGCATGGCAACATGTGTGATGTTTGGCAGGCATACTTTGTTCACCATCACAGTTAAGCATATGTTAGCATATAATAAAAACAAAGCACAGCTGAGGATGATGCGAATTACATTACTTTTTGCAGGGGTTTAGTCATACTCCAAAGTATTGGGCAAATGAAAATTCTGATGTGATGATGGTGCTAAATGAAACACAAGGTGATTAAAATGAATTAATCCAGAAGGATTTCATGGCAATCAATCCTGAGATAGTTTACGTAAAACCATACATATCAACCTGTGAGCGGCAGAGTCACAAGATCACCAAAGTTGGTTGGATTCATCCTCTGGAGACCACGACTCTCCCAAAACTGTTGAGTTATTTCAGTCTGCACCAAAGTGGTAGACCGACTGACTCAACATTGCCAGACCCTAAAGCCATTCTGTTAGCATGGATAAAATCCCACACATATTCAGTTTATTAGCACATAAAACAAAGAAAGGCAGCAAATGCTCCAAACTGAGAACCTTTAAGTAGGGGATTTTTGCTTCAGAGTTTGAAGAGATTTGAGCATACAATGTTTTGCAAAACTAGGTAGAAAGAAAAAAGAATTTACTTTTTTGCAATGAAAAATTAAGCTAACCTTTTTGCCCTTGATGGGTGAATAGATTTTTCTTACAAACCACTTTTATTGTAGTGTGTAAAACTATTTTTGAAAGATGATTGTAACATTGTTGTGGATACCTTGTGGTAATGTAAACTAAGTCACATGACATGATGTAAATATACAGTATAAAGAAATAAGGAACAAATACTATGAAGGCAAGGTAGCTAATGTTTAGAGAATGCAGCATTGTAACCACTTGTTTGATGTGTTTAATTTGATTTAAATGATCACATTAAGCAGCTCTTAGAGCTTTTGAGATTTATATTTACTATATATATATATATATATATATATATATATATATATATTCATCCTTATTTCATTCCTTCTGCTCAACCTCCTTTCCCTATTTTCATTTTACCGACATTAGGGTACCTCTCCTCTTTCTTATATATTCTTTTATCACTTTTCCTTCAATCGTTTTGCTGAATAAGCACTGACTTGGTGTCAGAGATTCAATCTTTGAATATTAGACCTTCACTTGGTATGAAACACCTCCACCACATGCCTGCAATTTCAGCCTGATCTGACTTGCAAAGAGGAAGATTTTTATGGCGGCACCAATTCTAGACAGGGGTGATGTATGGAGGAATGACAAGAGACCCAGTGATGTTTTTCCATTTTTGGCCTTTCTGGGGAAAAAAGAGGGCAAAGAAAAAGAGAAAGAGTCAAAAGCAGTGAGCTTAAGAGACATTGCGCTCATTTTTTGAAGTGTCTCACTGTGTCTGCTGAAGGCCAGGGTTGTTTCTTGCCTCTCATTTGGCAGACGGGTTGTGTCACTGCCTCAACTTGCTCATTAAGTGCTGTTTGGTACAGCATTATCTTGATAAATGTCCCACTTACACCACAGAATAGGCTGATGAATCAGACGCTGCATGGCAGTATATGGACAGTTCTTCTCACAGTCGGTGCGATTGCAGTGTGAGAGGTAGTAATGATCCATTGACAGGCTAAGAGAGAGGTCTGACAGGTTATTCCAGACACTATCAATCCAAAGAAGTTTAGAAGTGATGCAGGAAATGAATAACTTGGAGTTTAATCAAGGAGGTTTATGCACGTATATTAAACAGCAAGCGGTTTCAATTTAGTGAGGAACAACTGCCAAAGATTCCAGGGTGTTCCAGGAGAACAACCAAAAGTTTCACCGTACAAGAAGTTTCAACTTTATTTCGTTCAGCAAGAACAATTATTTCAATAACTCCTCCTCTTCTTTTACATATATGGAAATTGAGCAGGTGTCTTTGTCAAAAACAAGGAAGGTTTATAGTTTTACACATGAATATCAGTTATGAGGAGTACTATTCAGCCTGTTTTGTCTTCTGGAGGGACCTTTCATAAAAAAGAAAACTTCAATTTGGGCCTGACAGAAAGTCTGCGTTACAAACTGGGGATGTGGGTCCAATGTGGTGGTTCTTGCTTTTGATTACTAAATAAGAGGGTTGCAAATTGGTAAGTTATGAACAGTTCTCTCCAAAAATGGCTTTGTCTATTTAGACTGTTTCCTTTAAATTTAGAAGCCCAAGGAAGCAAAACGATACATTATTTATCCCACGTATAAATCCCCTTAGATTTATCTTACAACCGTTTTGCTTGCACTGGTATAATGTAAGTTGTGATTACGTTGCATTATGGGAAGTGTAGGATCTAGGTCTCCAAACTTAATGAAAATGTAATAATAAAATGCTGGAATACCTTTTACATTTTTGGATTCATAGCGTTTGGTTCATTAATTTGAAATAATTGCTTTTAGGTCAACTGTACATTTACTCAGAAATTAGTTTGGGCTATCACTAAATGTTAAGAGAAGGAGAATTGGCTAGATGTGCATTTTGAAACAAAAAATTGTGGCGGAATTTACCACTTTGTACTGGAAAAATGAAAAATTCCAAATTCATTAAGATTGAAGTCGTAGTTAAGTTTAAATATAGAATTTTGTCAGCAGAGAGTGAGGGCTCTATGAATATTGCCTGTGTTCAAAATTTAGATCCTAAATAAAAGTACATTTAAAAAATAATAATAATTCTTTACAGAAATGAATGAAATGCTGAGGTATAAAGGCCTATTGTGTGTATTTTTTAAGTTTTCCTCTTACACCCCTTAAAATCAAGAAGGCCTTGTGACCCACCGTGAAGCTTTGGTGACCCCTGGTGGGGGGTTGGGAACCACTGACATTATGGAGAATGTTGTGTTTTATTTTGATGGTCCTGTACTGAGAAGTGACAAAAAAGAAATCTTGCTGATAATTAATAATAATGATTAGTGAGTACTAATATGTTACTACAGCCATAGGAGAAAAGGTTATTAATTACATTAACTTTTATAAAAACCTTCACAGCATCAATATAGAAACTTTGTGTGATGTCATTTAGATTATCCAACAACCCCAAATATTGTACATTGAACCTACCACACTTTCCTCTAAACACGTTTAACAACATAATACCACAACAAATTCAACACATCTCTTCACATGGAAAAGTGTAGCAGTCCACTGTGGAACCAGCACCCACTCCCACAGGCAGCACCCTGCTCCACTGGTGCAAGGACACCACCACCACCACCACCACCACCAGTGCTGCTGCTGCTGCTGTGTTGGACTTACACACGCATGCATCAAAGCAGTGGCTGTGCAGTGGTGAAACCGCCCTGCCCTGCTACTACTACTAAACCTCAGCACAGCCTCATCTGCTCTGCGAGGACACGGGCACATTTTTAATCATAAACCTGACCTCGCAAATCCGTTTGTAGTTCCGTAATGTGGGGCGTGCGTGCCACACATACCACTAATCCCTGGATCCTCAGAGAAGGACCATGATATCTGGGACGGTGGCGCCTGGGACCTGTTGGAAATGACAGCTAAAGAAGGCGGACTGAAGCACAGGGATCACAACAACAGTAAACGTAGAAGATAGCGAAGAAACACTTCACTGTTTAAAGGGTGTGTGTGTGTGTCTGTCTGTGATATTTTACGGCTTTAGCCGGATAGCTAATGATTTCACTGTGATCCGCTACTCGCAAGCTAACGAGACCCCAGCTGAGTGCATGTGGGTGCAAGCCCGTGTGTGTGTGTGTGTGTGTGTGTGTGTGTGTGTGTGTATAGATTTTAGTGTGAATAGTGTTCGTATGCGCGGATGTGTGTCTGCTCTTGCCTTCACTGTTCCCCACCTGTTATGTTAGCTAGCCTGCTAATTTGATAGAGCTAGTCGGCTAATATTGGCTAATAACAGAAATTAGCTGACTGTGGGCGAGGTAATGACGCCGACCTTATGACTTCAAGCCGAATGGTCTTCCAGTACGGTAGTACAGCACTCATGTGGCTCTATCTAACGCAGCCCAGGCTAATTTGTTATATATTACGCAATATCCAATTAGCTAATGTTGACTGTCAGACGGCAGGTTGGCTAATTTGCTCTGCTATTAGCTTAGCAGCTAGAAGGAGAGCTTGCTCGCTAATTGACCTAGTTCGGAGGGGCAGAGGCCATGTTGTCATTCCACTCGACTGAACTTTGTTTACATTAGTTTTTAGCTTTCTACTTTTAGGGGCACACTCATTTATGATTATTTGAACACGTAAACTATTACTCAAGTGCCTTTTTTTAACTCCATACTCATGATTAATGCAGTTCCCTTCCACTCAGTGGCAAATCCTTAGAGACTCTCGTCGTGCTGTGCCAACTATTCCGTCTCGTCTATCAGTTGAGTACATTTTAACCCGAACTAAAGGCACAACTCAACCAGTTTAACCCATTGGACCCATTTTAGGATACAAGCTCGACCAGAAGACATGTAAAACAAATATTACAACGGTATTATTGTTGAACGACCTGCCTGGTTTGCGGGTTTATTTGTGAAAGGCAGTGGTTCAGCTGTGATTCAAATATAACCACCAATGCAGAACAGCAAACACTGATTACATAAGAGGCACACACTTCCTCTAGTCCCTTTGCTTGAAGATGCTGTAAAAGGACATTTTTTAAATGATGGCTTTCAGTAGTATTGACCCAAAATACATGTTCTGCTATTAAAGTGTAATTTTAGTTGTTCCCTGATGTGATATGTTACTCCAGGATTGCTCCAAAAAGTCTTATGATTCACACGAGGCCTTCTAAAACAAGGCAAGCTTCATACAGCATTGAAATCATGAAGGCTTAACAACAACAGGCCAGTCTAAACATACAGTAGGGTGTAAGATACAGCCTGAAAACAGATCAAATGTAACCCTGTGTTTTGTTTCTGTAACCCTCAAAACCCTCTAAAGTGGTTAGATTTGGCTCTGTGACAGCATAACACAGGCTAACAACCTGTTCCTCTGTCCTCGTCCTCACCCTGCAGGGTTGTAGCGATGGAGTCCCTGATGAGTGCGGTGGCCCCGCGCTCCCCAGCCCCCGCCAAGAAGCCGTCAGAGGTCGACTTCCGGTCGGGGGCCACCCTGGATCAGCTGTCGTCCCAGGTGTCTGAGCTGGTACTGCTGGAACAGGGAGAGTTTGGAGACCAGACCGCCTTAGAGGTCCACACTGCCAAGGACTTTATCTTCAACATGCTCGGTATGTCTGCAAGCAGAACACAGTGGCCAATATGTCACAGATCAAGCCCAACCTTTTCTTGTCTTCAGTCCTCAAACTGGTATTTCTTTAATTTATTATGGAGTGAGATAATGATGAGGATGAGGGTGGGATGTTGACACAGGAAGGATATTCTCACCCTGCACCCATTGTCTTTTCATCACCAGATCATTGTGACACCTAATTTCTTCTATTGCTGTGTTAGAATTAAAACCACTTTAGTTACCAACTGTTGTAGATGTGCAGGAATGTATCACAGTGTATTTCCCATTGTAATTTTAATACACTGTAATTTAAATGCAGTATAAGCCTCTGGTGTAGTAATTATTAATTGCCTGGAGTTCACTTGACTATTAATATACTTAACTACTTGGTGGAAGCTGTCGGCATATCACATTGCACACACAGATCCTGTCTATTTGGGAGTATATATTTTCTGTGTGTGTGACAGCTGCTGTATAAATTTGCAATACGTGCTTTCCCCCGTTTTCACAACACGGATGAAAGGAAACCACGTTTCTTCATCGCATGGTCTCGCCTCTGTCGCTTCTTATTTTTGTCACTGCCTTTTCCCTCAGAGTGCAGAAGTGTTTTTTACTGTATGGGGAAGGTATATTTTTATTTACCCAGGGTTGTGTCACTGAGAGCAATGAGCAGTCTTTCCTTAGGAACGCCCTGCTTAGACACTTTCCCCCCTGGAAGCTGCCCAACCACAGCCTGAGCAGTTGGCTACTGAACATGCCTTAACATGCAGAGAGCTGTGCTTGCACTCACAGTACATTTAAACTAGTACATCATGTTTCTTTAAATCATTTATACCACTGTCCGTGTGTTCAAACAGTTGCAGTGGTAGAGGGAACTTCAGTATGTGTCCAGTAGTAGAGTTGGTGTATTGCGAGGCTTTCCCATTATACTGAAAAGACTGCAGTGCATGGAAACATTATTATTTTCTGCTTGATGCAGATTGATGCCAGAGGGAAGATAGAAACGAAAGGTCTAATGTTGATGAGTCCTCCTTTCTCTGCAGGCGCCTTCACATGCTTCTCCGTATTTCAAAGTAATATTATTTCATTTATTTCTGAGACCTTACTCCACTCTTTAGCTGCATCTGTCCGTATAAATGCGATGCCAAATTTAATTTAGGCAAAAAAAGGACAGAACTGCATTTAAATAGGATGTGACATGGTTCTCTCTTGCAGACCCATTTCATGACTCAGGTTGTGAGGCAGCATGTGTGACGAACCCGATCAGCACTGTAGACTTAGCCTGCATTCAAATGATGGGCCAGGTACAATATCTTCAATTGAATCCCCTGGCAGAACATTATCACATGGTTGGTTCTTTCAGCTCTTACATACCAAATCAGAGGCTTATAATTTGTGGCAGAGTGGATGTAATAATTCAAAATTGCACATTTGGAGTCTTTCAAATGCAAATTTGGTTCTAAATGATGTGTTTGAATTCAAGCACATCCAGTACGGGATTCATATATTCACTGCGCGTGTTGCTCTGCTCTCTCTGTCATCCACGCTGGCTGGTTTTCGTGCATAACCTGAACTACTGAGAGTTTGCTAAGTGAGACATGAAGCCGTCTCAAATGTATTGTTTTTGTTATCGTCGGTTGTGACTCAAAAGTGAAGTGTGTTTGTTTGTCCAATAGGTGGCACTCTCCCCCCTCCCTGCTGTCCCTGATCTCTCACGTACCAGTCTATCCATGTATATTTGAAACCAAAAAAAAAACATGTCAGGCCGGCAGCCCGAAAGTGAGTCCAGTTGTTTTCTCGTTTACTGCTTGACTCATTCTGTGTTTTTATGCCCCAATTTTACATTTTTGTGTCTCCTCTTGTCAGTCTGTAATAGCCATAGTCTCTGCTCAGCCAAGAATATGAAATTAGTAGTATTAAAATGGTTGACAGACAGCTCCTGTAGACTTTCAGAATAGCTTAATCAAACAGGCTGCAGCAACCAGGGAGAAGTCACACAAATCAAAATGGCACCCAGGCCTGTTTTTCTCATTGTGTTGTATCACCACGTTCAGGCAGAGATTCCTTTTTTCTGCTTAAACTTTAAATCTTCTTCTTTTTTTTTTTTTTTTTTTTTTTTTTGCTGTTTTTCTCCCTTCTCCTCTGTTCGGGTTTCATATTTCATGATTCTGGTGCAAAGCCCTCTGCTTTTCCCTTTGTCTCCTCCCACTCTCCTTTGGTTGAGAATCTCTCGGTGACTCTTCTCAGTTTTTCTCTGGCATAATCACCAATGGTTTGCTGGTATTTTCATACCCTGTGCCTCACCGCCCGCTGCGACAGCTCCTCTGGCTCAGAAAAAAGTTTGGCACTTTCAACAGAGGGGAGACGGGGCTTGTGTTGGATTCGAGGAATATAAAGTTAAGCGTGCGGTGGTAGCTGCATTAGGAGCTATGCCTCTCAAGGCCCTGCGGAGGATGAAAAGGCAGCGCTGAAAAGCAAATATCATCCTTTTTATGGAGGGGCCTTTTTACAGCATGCCGGCCTGCTGCAGGAAGCTCGTCATAGCTGCCTAGGTGTGTGTGCCTGTGTGCATGGATGCTGAGTAACTGTGTCTGTTTTTTGCCAGGTTTTTATAAAGTTTGAGCCGCAGCAGGATCCCCACTGGGTTTTTTGCACACTGTCAGGGAAAAATGAAAAAGAAAAAAGATTGAACTGGCACACACACACACACTCACAAGTGCACCCAGTGAATTTCTTCACAGCCTGACAGATCCAAGAAGAGGCTCTTATTTACCCTGCGTTTGAGTAAACACTGTGGTTTGCCTCCAGGCAAGCGTGGTGGGGGCTACTGTATATATCTTTTTGAAAAACAAAAGTCTGATGAAGGCAGAAATAAATCCACTCTGCCGGTGAAGCGGAGGATCTGGTGCTAGGCCCAGACATACCCCGAACTCAGCCTTTCAGATCTTAAAGTTTGTTAGCCGGCTTAAGAGAGTTCACTTCAGAGATCGTCGCCCCCCCCGATGTCAGTGAGAATAGATTCTTTTGATCCCAATTTAAAAAGTCATGAGCGCTGTTCTGTCTCAGCACAGGTTTTGATATTTTTATCTGTGAGACAAGAAAAATAACCTGTTGCACGTAGAGCTTTTGAAGAATTATGTAATTGCCATGAAAAGAGATGCTCACAAGTTTCTCCCCATGCAGTGCACCAGATCTTCACTGTGTCCCACAGCGAACCTCCACTTCTTGCCTCCCCCGTTGGGCGTCTTACATCAGCCCCTTTTGCTTTCCGCTATTCTTCACACTTAGGCCACTTAGCCTGATGCACATTTGGGCTTGAACAATGATGAAGTGGTGGCGCTTAGACAGTGAGAAGGGTGATCAGCACCTGAGTGTGTTTCCTCCAGTCAAGTCAGAAGTTCACCTTGAGCTGTGATGAAAAATGAAAAACAAAACCAAAGCAAACAGCCTGTCTGTGTTTGTTTGTGTGTGTATGAGTGATGTTGCATGAGGGCCTGAATATTTATCAGTCCCACCAGAGTCTCAAGATCTTTCTGTGATTGTTGTGACTCAGAAAGACTGAATTTGCAGTTGGAAATACTGTTGCCAAAACTTTTTTCCTTTCATATAACTATATAAGAATTCAGTGGTTATTAGACCTAACCATGAATCATTACAGTTCCATTAAGAATAATGAATGGTACATGTGGTGTGAAGCGCTTTGAAGACTAGAAAGGTGCTATTTAAGTGCAGTCCATTTGCCATTAACCATATAGATATTGAAGAAAATGCCTGAAAAATCAATATACCTTATCATAATAATATAAAAACTGACAGCAGTCCTGCTCATTGATATGAAACATTGCAACAATTAAAGCTATAGCTATAGGCTATATTATCAGCAATGCACAAGATTCCTGCAAAGATTAGTCGAAATCCTTCATGCGTAAGAAAAGTCAGTCAGAATGGAGCAGAGAGTGCTCTCTGTACACTGTAGGCTTTAATATTAGGTGTATTTATCTGGCACAAAATTTCTCCTCCCAAATGTTCTACCCTTGCTAAGGCTGCACAAGCTTTTATGTGATTTGATGCATATTTTATTCTGGGGGGGAGGAATCCCTCCTGGTTAAATTTTAACAATCAGAGTGGCAGCCTGATCCCCTTCGGGAAAGCACCTCACTTAGCCGGCCACACTGGCTGGCCAGTCTCTCACTCCAGCACATTAACACCGGTGGACTGTGTGTGTATGTGTGTAACTGACTCACAGCTGGCTGCGGTGTCCACCACTGTGACTCCCTGCCTCATTGCAGGAGCCCTGCTCTGAGTTCAGTTGTAGTTTTCAGTGCACGCTTGGGATCGCGGGCCCACATGGCTGCTATGGCTGACTAATTCTCCGTTAATGCCATTTTAGATTTGACAGCATCTCTTCATGTGTCAGCCAGGCCAGCTGCATGGCCCCGGAACAGTAAATGACTGAAATATTTGTATTTGATTAGTTAGACTTTGTTCCATTTCAGACCCACCAGTGCCAAGCAGCACAGATGAGATGCATCTTGCCCAACATGAGTGATGGTCATTGTTTTTTTCTTTTTCTTTTTTCTTTTAGCACTTAGCAGCATTAAATCTTAATTGTTGGAAAGCTGGCACATCAGTGTGAATGAATGCAAAACACAATTTACTTGATGTTAATTTACTTCCGTTCACAACCTCTGTAAATAATACTCCGTGACAAATCAGCCAACAACTGCGTGTGATTTAAACACAGTAAAGTGGCCACGGACAGACATCACATCATTCATTAAGTGTCTTTCATGCTATCTAATTAAATAGGACTTCAGGGATGTGGCATGTTCAGTAAGCAGTGTTTTGACATTGCATGACATATTATCTACCGCACTGCTCATTTTAATAACCAAGGCTGACACCGTGATTCCTGCTCTTTAATAATCACACTTCAAGCATTCCTGAGGCGAAGAAGGAGGAATCATTTGGGTTGCAGCTGTCAACTGATAACGGTAT